GGAATGCCGTGTTAGCCTGCAGTGGTTCTGGACCCGGAACCTGCTGGTTCCTCAGGGCAGGCAGAGGGCAGAGCCACCGAGAGCTTTAATTCCACTTTAATCAGATTGTATTCCATAGATGCTCCCTTAATGAGGGTTAATGATATTAATTACTGTCCCCTTCATTTCAGAACACACTCCAGAGGAGCTAATTGTCACATGATGACCCTGGAACAGCTTAGGCCCCAGCAGAACTCCCAGGAAGGGTCTATTTCCCTTTCTTTCCCCCAGTCCCTCTGCCCTTCCAGCCCACACACTCTCTTATTTGCTTTCCTCCCATCAGGGCTGTCATGTCTCCTGTCTCTGAGTCAGATAAGAATGGGAGTTGTTGCACATGGCTGCATCGCTTTCCCAGGGGGACCTTGGATTTTAAACATGGATTGCTGACAGGCTCGTAGTTTGATGAGCTGCCCAGTGGATGATGACGTCATGAGCATCCTCCTGCAGGATGGGTGGGTGAGCGCCTGGAATCCTGGCAAGAGTGACCCAAATTAAAAGTGCACGGCTAGGGACTTCCCTGGTGGCGCAGTGGATAAGACTCTGTGCTCCCAATGCAGGGGGCTCAGGTTCCATCCCTGGTCAGGGAACTAGATCACACATGCATGCCGCAACTAAGAGTTCACATGCCACAACTCAGGAGCCCATGAGCAGCAACTATGGAGCCCGGCTGCCACAACTAAGATCCAGCACAACCAAATAAATAAATAAATAAATAAATATTTAAAAAAATAAATAAAGGGACTTGTCCCAACAGGATTAAAATCTTAAAAAAACTAAAAAATAAAAGTGCATGGCCAATCTGACCCAATAACTTCTTCTGTTTTTATTGAAGTATATAGTTGATTTACAATGTTGTGTTAATTTTTGCTGTACAGCAAAGTGATTTATCACAGGATATTGAGTATAGTTCCCTGTGCTATACAGTAGGACCTTGTTGTCTATCCATCCTATATAGAATAGTTTGCATCCGCTAACCCCAGCCTCCCACCCCACCCCTCTCCCCCGCTCCCCCTTGGCAACCACAAGTCTGTTCTCTATGTCTGTGAGTCTGTTTCTGTTTCATAGATAAGTTCATTTGTGTCATATTTTAGATTCCACATGTAAGTCATAACATGTGATATTCGTCTTTCTGACTTACTTCACTTAGTATGATAATCTGTAGTTAATAATCCATGTTGCTGTAAATGGCATTATTTCATCCTTTTTAATGACTGCATAGCATTCCGTTGCCATAACTTCTTTTTTGGGGATTTATCCTACAGATCTTTCTCCTGTACATGTCCACACAGAAGAATGTATAAAGGTATTCACTGTAGCACTGATGGAATAACAAAGGGTGGACACAATCTAAATGTCTGACCAAGAGTGGACTGGTCAGATGAATTATGCTATATCCACTAAGTGGGTATTATGTAGCTAATATAAAATGAGGCCAATCTGTGTGTGCTGATATGAAACAATACCCAAGGTATATTATTAAGTGAAAAGAGCAAGGGGGTGGAACCATATATATGCTATGTTACCACTTGTATAAAAAAAGTGAAATATATTTTTGTGAGTGTATGTGCAGGAATCTACCCATGCCCTGGCATACACACAGAGCAGGACGCCATGGTACAAATACCGTAAAGTGCTGGGCTATAGCTTGTCAGGCTCTTGTGCAGTTTTCAGTGACCTACAAGGGGGCCCACGCTGTGCAGAGTTGAGGGCACCTGTGAGCTGGGCAAAGCCGGCTGGGGTGGGAGGACATTGTGGTTCTTGGTAACCAGGTGGGGCTGGCTGATGGGAGCCCCGTGGAACAGAGTGAAAACCTAGCACTGGAAAGGGCAGGGAGTCACAGTTTGGGAGATAACAGAGGAGCCAGCGGAGATCACGTCTCAGTGTGAATGTGCCATGAGAGAGTGAGCCCATAGGGACGATATTTAGATGATCTTTACCAATTTTTAAGACTCAAAATTACTCCAAAGCTGCACTGTTCAACATGTGGCCATTTAAATTTTTTTAGTTTTTAATTTTCTATTGAAGTATACTTGATTTACGATGTGTTAGTTTCAGGTGAACAGTGAAGTGATTCAGATATATATATATATATATATATATATATA